TCTTTAGATTGTTCTTTTTTCATGTACAGTGCCCTGAGACAACGTACTGTATGTTGTGACTTGGCGATTTATAAATAAACTGAATTGAATTGAAAGATTTGCTTTTAGTTTTTTTATTTTATTTTTTGTTTTTCTGGTTTATAATGTTACACTATGTCTAATTGTACTCTATGCTGTCTGTGTCATGTCTTTGTTTTAACATTGTTCTGACATTTTGTGTTGCCTCTTAACCAGGTCGTCGTTGTATATGAGAATTGGTTCTTAACTGACTTACCTGTTAAAATATGAAGGTTATTTATATACACTGAGCATCAGTAGTTATTCTTGACTGCATCATCTGATAATTTTAACATGAAACATCCTCTGCACCATACAACATTTTATATGGGGGGGGGGGGTGACACACAGAACAGGTTACTTTTATAAACCTGAGGAACCAGTGATTATTATACAGATTAAATTAACTATAATCTGATAAAAAGCTAAAAAAATCCATTTTTCCAAACTGAGTTTATTAAAAGAGCTACCTACAACAGGTTTTACTGATTCTTCAAAAACTTTTCACAGAACCTTAAAAACCTTTCTATAAATACAGCAAAGCATAACCCATGTGCCGTCTGTATTTTTAGACCTGCAGTAATTATAAATGTTAAAAATATGTTACCTCTTTTCATTTTCTCTTCCTGATCCTGAAGTATTTTTGACTCCTGCCACGAAAAACATTTTTTCTGACGACCCAGGTCCACTCCTTGTTGCTGAAGCAGAACGGTAAGACCACTGGAAAGTCCTGTGAAAAAAATACAACCAGTTTTATTATTCAGCTGCTGAAAACTGCATGACTACGGCTTTGTAGAGCAAACCAGTCAAGAGAATGAAAAATAATCCTTTACCTTTGGTGCATGTTTCATTTAAGCAGTAATTATTTATATCAGTCTCCAGATAAGTTTAAAATAAAGCTTTTCCAGGCAATCCCACAAACCACTCCTCATGATGGTGCGCTGGTAGCTACAGGAAGTGGAACAGGAAATGCCGCTCACACTGTAGACTCCCAGTCAACCTCCCGTTTTCAACACAATGTTCCAAAGGACAAACATGAAAGGTGTAAAAACCGACCTGCTGGGTTCTGAACACTTGCTCTGTCAACACAACGTTACCAGATCCTCTCCAGAGACACAATCCACGAGTTCTGGTCTCACTCTGCAGACTATGACACTGGCAGGATGCACAGTTTTATACAGTATATATATATA